CAAGGATCTGTATGTCGGTTATATAATTATAATTATGCCCATGAACAGTACATAACGCGCGCCCTCATGCGTCGAATCCGGACCATCATGTTAAAAAATGTACATGTACATTACCCATTGCAACCTCGTACCCTGTGGGTACGATTTCGCAGCGCCATGTTGTTTCCCATCATGCCTTGCGCGATCGTAACCCCTGGAATTGTGTAATTTAAATCGAAGTGGCTATCGTTACGGCAGTCGTTGTTTAGCGCCCTCTACGATACTTTGTTGATACGCACGCAGGTATATAATTATTTGTATGCAAATACAGCAAGTACAGTAAACATGTGCATGCCCGTCATAATCCATGGTCGCGCATGAGTTCCCGCCATGCCCCGTGGACAGGTTTTTTTCACAGGAAACAGCCGCGAGACACTTTCTGACGAACTTGGCCGCACTCGGGTTTCCTTGGGCTTAGACTAGTAACAGGTTTCGTTTTTCCTTTTCCTGTTACCCTTTTTTCGTTTTTGTTTTGGCAAAGAAAATGTTGTCTTAGTTTTTAGTTGTTTGTGTTTCAGTGAAACAAAATGAAACAGAAATGAGTGTGCTGCGTTTATTTACATAACGTTAACTGTATACAAAGGAAAACGATTGATGATTTTGTTTGATACGCATCAAAAGCGGAATGCTGTAACTCGATGCGTTGTCTCTTTTTCTGAACACAGAATCAAAAACGGTGCACAGTATAGGGTTTGCTTTTCTTTTTTTCTTTTTAAAATTAGAAAACGGTAACTGGCAAATGGTTTTCTTTTTGTTTTTTCTTTTCAAAATTTCAAAAGCAAAAACGGGTAAAGGGTTTGCTTTTCCTTTCTTGGTTCAAAAATTTCAAAACAAATACGGGTAAAGGGTTTGCTGTTTCCTTTTTCTTTTGAAAAAATTAAAAACGGTGACTGGTAAAGGGTTCCCTTTTCCTTTTTTCTTTCCACAAATTTAAAAGCAAACAAGGGTAAGGGTTTGCTTTTCCTCTTTTTGGTTCAACAATTTCAAAACAAAAACTGGTAAAAGGGTTGGCTTTTTCTTTTTTCTTTTCAAAAATCCAAAAACAAAAATTGGTTAAGGGTTTGCTTTTTCATTTTTCTGTTCAAAATTCTAAACCAAAAATTGAAAAAGGGTTTGCTTTTTCATTTTTCTGTTCAAAAATTCTAAACTAAAAATTGGAAAAGGGTTTGCTTCTTCATTTTTCTGTTCAAAATTCTAAACCAAAAATTGGAAAAGGGTTTGCTTTTTCATTTTTCTGTTCAAAAATCCAAAACTAAAAATTGGAAAAGGGTTTGCTTTTTCATTTTTCTGTTCAAAAATTCAAAACCAAACATTGGAAAAGGGTTTGCTTTTTCATTTTTCTGTTCAAAAATCCAAAACTAAAAATTGGAAAAGGGTTTGCTTTTTCATTTTTCTGTTCAAAAATTCAAAACCAAACATTGGAAAAGGGTTTGCTATTTCATTTTTCTGTTCAAAAATCCAAAACTAAAAATTGGAAAAGGGTTTGCTTTTTCATTTTTCTGTTTATAATTTTAAAAATGGTAAAAGGTGTGACACTTTTGTTTTTCTGTTTTCGTTTTTAAGACGCATAAACGGAAACTGGTAAACGATTTCCTTTTTCTGTTTCTTTACCAAGATTGTAAAAGGGTAAACGGTAAAGTGTTCGTTTTTCATTGTTCTTTAAACAATTTTCAAACGGTAACTGATTGGACGGTATGTACACGGACCGCCCTCGCGCGGGTGTATCACTTCTTCTTCGCTCGTACCCCCGCCATGCAAACAGGACGCTGGGATACGCTGATGAGCTTCACATATTTTTTGGAAGGAAGTGGCCTATGATCTATGTATAAAGCATCTGGCTGCAGCTGTTTAAGTCCGCAGTTAGATAATGTGCGCAAATGCTATCTGAAAACTTCTCATAGAACATTCCATACCGGATGTGCTTTCTGTTTCATTTGCGGACCATGCGGACAAAATTTTGAGCGTCGCATAATGCCGACCATTCGTGGTTCGAAAAAACTGAGCCTTAGCAAGTGACGGGAATTGTAAATTTACAACACAGATAAGTTTTACAGAATTTAATACATTATTACGCTTTTCATACGAATAAAAAACATCTCTAGACTGGAATAAAAGAGTAATGAATCAGTCTTAACGGCCGTTTCAAACCTTCGCTCGTACTGTTTGCAGGGAGGGGGGGGGGGAGCGAATTTCAAACCTTGCAGAGTCATGACCGTGATGACTCGCAGGTCACAGGTCACGCAGAATCTATCCAATCAGAGCGTGAATTCATCAGAGTATCCCGGCGTCCTGTTTGCAGGACGGGGCATACGAGCGAACACTTCTTTACCATTGAACATTTCTCGATCGCTGATTGGTTCCCTAGGAACTTGATGATGTTGGGTCACCGCACGTACGTAGCGCGTATGTTTACTACCGTCTGGCGAGCAGTTCTCGATCTAGGAAAGTCTATTGGAAGAAAATGAAAAAAGTTAAATCGCTGATACGAAATGGCCAAGACGTTAGTGCAAGTAGGCCCGCTGGTGTAATTGTTGTGTCATAGAGGGAGCACTATGCGCCGTCCACTAACGAAAACTAGCGTCTTGGGCAAAGACTAGCATAGACCAAGCGAAACCCAGATTGGGGCCAAGTCTAATAATTCATTTAAATGATTGAACTTCCGCAAGTGATTGAAGGGAACTTTACAAGGTAAATGTATTCGCATGAGCAAGAGTGGGTGCTTTAAATACGTTGGTTAAATTAAGCACTACTTAGATCAAAAGTGGTGTTCTTCTTTCGTGGATACTAAATTAAACGTCCCACTTAAGTTAGCAGGCTGCTTGGATTTCAGTATGATTAAGTCTCGTGAATACGTTTTCTGGTCTGTATTCTCCCTTTGTAAAGATGTAATACTTTTCTTCATATTTGGCTCGAAATAAAACCAATATCCGGGTTCACTGAACTTCAACCGATGTGTTCATTGTACACATGTACTAGTAAATACTACAGTTGAAGCTTACGTTGTTGGCGCCGAGTTTATAGTTGTGTCGTTTATTTTACTCAGTGTACAATGGCGTCGGTAGTCAACGTTTTCACCATTGCAGCCAGCTTGCTATGTTTTCATGGAGGTAAGATATTCTAGTTGCAAATTCTTGGAGATGAGAGGCGGGCTTTGTTTCTTTAACAGATCACATACACCCTTTCTGTGTGTGGGGTAACGTTGTCTTTGTGTGGCACATGAACATTGAGGGCAGACACAGCAGGAAACTGAATACAAATATACGTTTGTTTTATTCCGTGGGGATTATGCCTGTCATTTAGTTTAACCGGTGAATATAATAATCACGGTATCATTGGCGAGTCCACGCTTAAAGGCGAACACTTATAAAATGTAACGGTGGTGGTTATTCTCGCATAAATAATGTTGTTTTACTTCATGTAGTGATTGCAGTATATCTACGGTATTCTTTTAAAGATATTACATGTTAAATGTGTCTATCGGCACCTGGACTCTTATTCATTGTGGTGAAGAAGCTGCGATATCGGTAAATGCAATTTAATCTGGAAGCCATAAAATCCAAGATCTCCCCTATAGTGCATAATTATGGACAAATTAACCATTTTGCACTATTTACAGTAGTCGATATAAATTAATTGTACTTAATAAAGATTTTTTAGTATCGTGTCTGCGTGACTTAATTTATGTTCTTACACTATTAAACAGTCTCCAAAATACTTCTAAATGAAATAACTCAACAAAAAAGTGAACATAATTTAGGACAAATCTAAATCTGTTGAATGTCAATAACATGTTAACCTGTTTAACTGTCTTCACAAAAATATTGAAAACCTTTCAATAACAAAAATGAAATTATATAAAATGATAAAACGTGTCAAACCTGTGAAGATGGTGGAGAACAAAAAAAAACACGCTTCATAAGTCCGACAAAATCGCATCCCCTACCAAATAAAGGCCCATAAGCCCGACGTCTCATAGGTCCGACGCCAAATAAGTCCGACGCCTCACAGCTCCGACGCCTCGTAGCTCCGACGCCTCGTAAGTCCGACAAATTTAACACCTCGTTATTCCGACGTCAGACTTATGAGGCATCGGACCAATGAGGCGGAATAAATAAATGTTATGCCTCACAAGTCCGACGCCTCATAATTTCGGACCTATGAGGCGTCGGACTTATGATACGGCCCCATTTGAACAACCCCGGCCGAAACTTGAATTTAGGTCCAGGTACACTGCCATTTGAACACGGTGAAATAGGTTCTGGTCCAGAATTAAAAAAATAACAATTACCATTCAGTTATACAAATCTTTTTATGAAATGGCCTAAATCTGTTCAGAGAGAAATATGTGTGGTTTATGCTATTAATATTTCAGTCCATACAGATTTGACCATAAAAACAGTTGCATGTTAGGAAAAGAAAGTTTCCTTATAAATTTTACGTTGAAATGTGAGAAATAAATAAAAATGTGCTGTGTGATGTGTGTTAATAATAATTGATAATTTTAATATTCATTTGGAATTTTTATTTTGTTAACTACCTCGCCCATTATGCGGGTCCGCATGCTTCCGAGCAACAGTAATTAGATTCGCTTTTGCGGTCCCTGACCCACATAATCGTTTTCTTTGTGATTTTTTGTGTCTTACTGGTTATTGTTCAACTCCCAATTGGGAAGCCCACTCCAGCTGCCATTTAAAGTGCATGCCCTCTGCTTCATGATTTTTTAATAATTTGAATTACATGTTTGTACGTTTCTTTTGTTGTGCGTTTTCAACCACTTTTGTGTAATTTTTGTTTGGTTTTGTATCACTGTTTGTAATTCTTTGTTGAGGTCGAATAAATAATAATAATAATAATAATAATAATTATCTTTTTCATATGGGTTTTTAATTGTTCGTTTGTTTTTGTCAACACTGTCTCTAACTAATACGACTTAAAAGTCATGTATGTATCCTTTCTTAAAGTTTTTCCACCAACTGTCCACGCCCAAACAGTCACCGTCACCCTGTTACCAGTATCTACTGTACAAGGCCAATCAGCAACACTCACCTGTACCTTCTCACTGGATGGCCCTGGTGCCTTTAACAACGTCGAATGGAGACAGAGAGGCACTCTTATTGCTGACTTTTACAACGGAGCCCAGACACCAACCTACGGCACTGGATTTTCTGAACCTGATTATGTTGCATCAAGGAATGATTCAATGAGTACTCTGACGATAGCAAGTACTCACTTGTCTGTTGATGATGGAGGATATAGCTGCATGGTGTCATATAAAGATGGTTTTACTAATTATCATGGAGCAGCAACCAGTCATCTAATAGTTTATGGTGAGTGGATTAATCTTGTCATTAATCTTCGTCTAATGCAGAGTTTTCTTTTGGTTCTTCATACATTTGTACATTCATGTGGGTGAAAGTAACGACTACCGGACCCACATCTGTACATGGCATAGGATAGGCCCTCATGTCTGTTGAAATACATACCGTACCTATAGATAATCTAAGCGTTGTCTAAATGTTGTCTAAATACCCTCGGTGCTAAAATGACACTATGAAGTTGGGGTATTTTGCCTAATTTTGCGATCAAATACATACATGTACATTATGTGTAAGGCATTTGGTACGGTACCTTTACAATGATGAATTTCATTAATTTTAGACCACAATGTTCTGTATGTAGAACTGTTAGTGTTGTCTAGGCTTTGCCTTGGCGGCCTTGGGGGTGCGGTCTTGCTGTCTGTTTGCTGTCGCCTGTTTTGCAGGTGAACACCTGCTTCCCTTCGTTTTCGTTTGCTTTCTTTATGCCAAAAAAAAAGGAAAAATTCTGCCCCCAGTTACCGGTACATGTACCAGACCAGCCCTATTTTTAGGCCATGACAGGTTATATTTTGTTTGGCCTTATTTATACCAATTAAGTGATGCAGTGGAACACCGCTATATTAAACGAACATCGCAGGATCCACAGAAATTGTTCGTAATAGCGATTTTTCGGCATAGCGATTTTAAGCCGCTGGTGCTCCGGTACTCACTTTTCAATAAATAGTGCCCTTCAGAACTTCACCTGCATGCCCTGGTACTTCTACATGTAGTTACTGAAAGATGACTTTGAACACGTGCCAACTATTTAATAATGTAATTACACAGATAGTGAGCTTACTACCGGTACCTACAGCAATGGGAGGCTTTCCCCTTCTATTCCTTGGAGAAATAATAGCCAGTTTTCGCTCTTCTGTTGACATTTTTAACATTAATATTCGTTACATTTTCTACACAAAAATCAAGAGCCAAAGACGTTGTACGGTATAGCCGAATGTTCGGTGTAGCGGTGTTCAGTATAGCGACATTCCACTGTACATGTACATTGAAAAAAGCTTGGTTAAAAGGAAAATACAACATTTGCAAACATCTAAAAACGAAATGATCAAATTATCACGAAATACCTTACTTGATTGTTAGGGAATGACGGTCTAAAGCATCCTTTAAAATCGTGGCTCCTGGTGTGCTGACATTTTCAAGAAAAACTGTATTTTTCCAACGCTGGTCGGCCGACCAGCGTTGGAGAAAACTGGCTTTTTTCAAAAAGTGTTCTTAATTTTTCATATTTAGTTATTCTGACTTTTCTTTGCAATTGATCACACACCTGAGAAGGGGTACAAGCCTGCTAGACTGATTCTCTGACCTTACAATTCCCTAAAGTGTATTAATTGCTTCGTTTCATCTTAAGTGGGATCAGGGAACCAGACTACAAGAACATGATGATGTTTTCTTGGTTTTCCAGCATCTACAAGCCCAAAACATGAAACAAGTCAGTTTAACAATATTTTATATAAATACATGTAACATACATGTACTAATCCTCCAAATCCATTTATTTCAGAAAATTGAAGCAAACGCAAATGTTGTACATTCCCTTTATATGGGTGCTCAATTCAATTCATGTCTCTCAGAGAGTAGTAATAGGACATTAAATTAACGATTGCTCCCATTTTGGGGAACTACACAAAAATAGGGGATAGTTACAGGCTTGAACTGTCAGTCACTGTGCATGGGTGGCAGATCTTCATGGGAAGTGACCAATGCTAAATAAAAATTGCTATTGCTGCATGTACAGGTACACTTGTATGCATTTACATTTACGTGTACATTCTGAAATTCCATATTAATAAGGGAATAAATGTGTGCTTCGGAGGTTTTTATCTCTCTGTTTAAGACCACTTAGTGTCTGGGTGCTGATAATTACCCGAGCCGGAGGCGAGGGTAATTATCAGCACCCAGACTCTAAGTGGTCTTAAACAGAGTGATAAATACCGACGGAGCACATATTTATTCCCATTCATAAATACCTTTTCGGTAAGAAAAAATCATATAATTCGTTCAAAACATCCTGATTTTGTTCAACAAATTCACTTTATGCTGTTTGAAACATCCCTCTTGCAAAATAATGTAGTGTTCAGCTGGCGAGTAAGATGTAAACAACCCTTTTATGGAGATTGACGCGCGCGTATCATGTTCTGCGCGATGTTGCGTGTCTTAGGTATTTATGAATACATATTTAGGCCCATGCAACACATTTGCAATAAACTTTCAAGTGCATAAACATGTACATGTACATGTACATGTAGATGTACAATATCAGTCATGTCAGTCAAGTCATCCATTCCCCTTAGGTGGCAAGAACTTTTTTTTTAGTTTATGTTTAAATACTTGTACCTGTAGGCAAGTAATTGCTGGTCAGGTTCTCCAGTAACAGAGTGCGTTTTGTGTGCATTTGTGAATTTAGTGTTTCCATCAAGCATCACCCTATCCGACTTAACTGGAAGTTACCCTTCTACTGGCGGTACATCATATCTTATTGAAGGTATGGCTCGTCAGTTCACCTGTGAGGTACCAGGCATCAACCCAGGAGCATCATTCACTTGGTCTCTGGATGGAGGAGTCATCACACCCGATAACACCGTGAATGTTACAGGTGCTGATAAATTAACTACCAGCACGAGTCTGGCTACCGTATCACCAGCATGGAACAGCCACGGAGAGATGTTACAATGCCAGGCTTCCAATAAAGATGGCCATGATGGGATAAGCATCAGCGTTACACTTGACATTAAAGGTATTTGTATTTTCCACAATATGTCTAATCTGCATTGTTTACATGTATCGTACATGTATGTCCAGCCATGCATAATTGAGGCCTAAATCACTGGATCTGCCATCCGCACCGCTTCGAGATTATAGCACTGCCTAAACGTATTACATGGACAGTGATTGTTGGAGAATATTGACGGTTCGGAGCAGTGGTCATACCTCCACTGACCAATTAAGTCAAGAAATAATAATAATAATAATAATTATTATCTTCAACTTCAAGCAAACTTGTATCCTCAACCCTAATTGGTCAATCACTGGCAACAACAGTGTGATATACTGTATCTCACGGTCCACATCGCACCCTGTGTATTGCGATATTCCAAGATGGTAGCGACTTTCCAGCTGCATGCGCTAAACCGCTAAGAGGTTCATGTAAAGCGAGCTAATTCCAACTTTACTGCACGTCATGTTTAATTGAAGGTAAATTTGTTATTGTGCTCGTGGAACACGGAAAATGAAGTGCGTCTGTGTCCCAGATGCCACGAGGCCGAAGGTATTTGGGACACAGACGCACTACATTATTCTGTGTTCCACGAGCACTCGCGGGATAACTGCAATAAAATTCAGTCTTATAACTTACAAGCTGATTTACCCGATCATAGATCGGGTATATAGGGCGTAGTGTTGGGGATGAAAATGTTGGCAGTTAAATGTAAATGGGGGATCATTGAGGAGACATGCAGTTATAGAAAAGCAATTTTTGTGGTGTGATCTGAGGCAATTTCTGACCACTGAAACCAATTTGAGCAAAAGATCATCTTTTAAACATCATTTTCGAGCTTGGGGTAATTGAATCAGCTACACGGTATTCTGAGCAATAGAATCATTATAGTAGGCTACAATTTTTATTCGGGGAAGAAAAAGTGGGGGGGGGGGACCAAACAATGATAATTATGTACCCTGATAATTGTCTGTAAATGTTCCCGTTGGTCTGTTAAATGGGCATTTTGTGAGGCAGTCGCATTGCCGGAAGAACGTAGTGAAAAGCTTACCGTAGTACACAGGCGAAGGCTGATTGTACAGTTTTGACACTAAATCATAATGTAATCAAACGTGAAGTTGTCATTTGCAATGAAAATGTTAAGTGTTACCATAAAATTACAAACGGTGTGAGTGATGGAGGAAGGTCATAATTAAGTTTCAGTATTGGACTCTTCAACAAACGTAAACTTGAACTTCTTACAATTTGCGAGACCGTCTGCGAGGAAAAAGTCGATTCAACTTTTATTCAAGTTGGTCAACCATCTATATAAGAGCAAGTTTTACTCGGCCTCCGAGAAATGTTCGCTCCTGAAAGGGTTCCGAGACCGAGGTCTCCCGCGACGCCAAAATGGCTCCACGTCCATAGAAAAATACGGAGAATTTCTTCCGCCAAATCAAGCACTTCAGGTCGTCCTAATTTTTCCGTACGGACCAGCGATCCGTTTTGTCGATTTTTTGTGTGACTGCGTTCCAGATCGCAATATTTGAAGCAATGCATCGACCCTTCGTTGATCCGAAACAGGCCCCCGAAATTATAACCGACACTGACTGTGACGTGGCGGGCCGGGCAGCGAACTCACAACGCTCAGCGCAGCCTTGGTGGAAGCATAGAGCTAGTAGTGGAAGCATGGAGCTGTAAACACATTATGGAAGCAACAGCACTCTATCACGCGACGTCACATGCTTGCGCTTCAAATAGCGAGCACCGTAGACCCAACCTCGTTTGCAGGGTGTGGAGCAGGCTGCAGTACGCGTTGCCATCGACAGTTTTGCATAGCCCGGAAATACTATGCAGTGTAGACTTTCGATTGGTCAGACCGCGCAAGGCATACTAATGTGTAGTCCTTCTGAGTATTCGTTGCACTCGGCGCAGGGGCGGCAAGCGAAGCACAGGAAACAATAGGGACACTTGGTGGCCACGCACCATGGAGAAAAAATATTTTGCGAAGGTCACCCCATACTACCATTTGGTGGACACTTTTGCAGAACGGCTGAGTAGAACACGTAAACGAAACCCCTACGTTGACCTCGCTGACCTCGCACAGTCTAGACTCGCAGAAAAGCCAGCACGGGGGGCGACCAGGCGGTCAACGTGAAAGCGCACACGACGGCAAATTCCTGCGCAAAACGCAGTCACGAAAAATCGACGAAACGGATCGCCGGTCCGTACGGGAAAATTAGGACGACCCGAAGTGTCCGACCCGGCGGAAGACACCCTCCGCATTTTTCCACGGACGTGGAGCGATTTTGGCGCCGCGTGAGCCCGCGGTCTCGGATCCTTTCAACAATGTCCCCCCTCAAAATGTGTGTGTGGGTGTGTGTGTGTGTGTGTGTGTGGGGGGGGGGGTTCCCCCTGTCCCCCGTCGATTTACGCACATGATAATTATGTACCATGGCAACTGTCTGTAAATATTGCCGTTGGTCTGTTAAATTGGGTGAGGCAGTCGCATTTGGAAAACGTAGTGAAAATGTTACTGTAGTACACAGGCGAAGGCTGGTTGTACAGTTTGACAATAAATCATAATGCAATAAAACGTGAAGGTGTCATTTAAAATGAAAATGTTGAGTGTTACCCAAAAATTACAAACGGTCTGAATCATGGAGGAAGGTCATAATTAAGTTTCAGTATTGGACTCTTCAACAAACGTAAACTTGAACTTCTTACAATTTGCGAGACCGTCTGCGATGCAACTTTTATTTAAGTTGGTTAAACCATCTATATATATATAAGAGCAAGTTTTACTCGGCCTCCGAGACGATGTTTGCTTCTGAACGGATCCGAGACCGCGGCTTCACGTCCGTGAAAACATGTGGGTGTCTTTCGCCGGGTCGGACACTTTTTCGTCGATGTTTTGTGACTTCGTTTAAGATCGCGATATTTGAAGCAATGCATCGATCCTTCGTTGACCCCAAACAGGCCCCCGAAATTATAACGCGACACTGAATAATACGTGGCGGGCAGCGAACTCACAACGCTCAGCCTTGGTGGTGGAAGCATGGAGCTGTAAACACATTATGGAAGCAACAGCACTCTATCACGCGACGTCACATGCTTGTGCTTCAAATAGCGAGCACCGTAGACTCAACCTCGTTTCCAGGGTGTGGAGCAGGCTGCAGTACGCGTTGCCAGTGACGGTTTTACGCATAGCCGGGAAGTACCACGCAGTGTAGACTTTCGATTGGTCAGACCGCGCTAGGCATACTAATGTGTAGTCCTTCTGAATATTCGTTGCACTCGGCGCAGGGGCGGCAAGCGAAGCATATGAAAGAATAGGGACACTTGGTTGCCACGCACCATGGACAAAAAATATTTTAACAAGGTCACCCCATACTAACGTTTGGTGAACGCTTTTGCAGAAGGGCCGAGTAGAACACGTAAACGAAACCCCTACGTTGACCTCGCTGACCTCGCACAGTCTAGACACGCAGAAAAGCCAGCACGGGGGGCGGCCAGGCAGTCAACGTGAAAGCGCACACGACGGCAAATTCCTGCGCAAAACGCAGTCACGAAAAATCGACGAAACGGATCGCCGGTCCGTACGGGAAAATTAGGACGACCCGAAGCGTCCGACCCGGCGGAAGACACCCTCCGCATTTTTCCACGGACGTGGAGCGATTTTGGGGCCGCGGGAGCCCGCGGTCTCGGATCCTTTCAGGAGCAAACATACCGATCATAGATCGGGTATATAGGGCGTAGTGTTGGGGATGAAAATGTGGGCAGTTAAATGTAAATGGGGGATCATTGAGGAGACATGCAGTTACAGAAAAGCAATTTTTGTGGTGTGATCTGAGGCAATTTCTGACCACTAAAACCAATTTGAGCAAAAGATCATCTTTTAAACATCATTTTCGAGCTTGGGGTAATTGAATCAGCTACACGGTATTCTGAGCAATAGAATCATTATAGTAGGCTACAATTTTTATTCGGGGAAGAAAAAGTGGGGGGGGGGGACCAAACAATGTCCCCGCTTTAAAATGGGGGGGGGGGTCCCCCTGTTCCCCACCGATTTACGCACATGATAATTATGTACCCTGATAATTGTCTGTAAAATTGTTCCCGTTGGTCTGTTAAATGAGCATTTTGTGAGGCAGTCGCATTGCCGGGAGAACGTAGTGAAAAGGTTACCGTAGTACACAGGCGAAGGCTGATTGTACAGTTTTGACACTAAATCATAATGTAATCAAACGTGAAGTTGTCATTTGCAATGAAAATGTTGAGTGTTACCATAAAATTACAAACGGTGTGAGTGATGGAAGGTCATAATTAAATTTCAGTATTGGACTCTTCAACAAACGTAAACTTGAACTTCTTACAATTTGCGAGACCGTCTGCGAGGAAAAAGTCGATTCAACTTTTATTCAAGTTGGTCAACCATCTATATAAGAGCAAGTTTTACTCGGCCTCCGAGAAATGTTCGGAGTCCCGAAAGGGTTCCGAGACCGCGGTCTCCCGCGACGCCAAAATGGCTCCACGCCCATAGAAAAATACGGAGAATTTCTTCCGCCAAATCAAGCACTTCAGGTCGTCCTAATTTTTTCCGTACGGACCGGCGATCTGTTTTGTCGATTTTTTGTGTGACTGCGTTCCAGATCGCAATATTTGAAGCAATGCATCGACCCTTCGTTGATCCCAAACTGGCCCCCGAAATTATAACCGACACTGACTGTGACGTGGCGGGCCGGGCAGCGAACTCACAACGCTCAGCGCAGCCTTGGTGGGAGCTAGTGGAAGCATGGAGCTGTAAACACATTATGGAAGCAACTATCACGCGACGTCATATGCTTGCGCTTCAAATAGCGAGCACCGTAGACTCAACCTCGTTTCCAGGGTGTGGAGCAGGCTGCAGTACGCGATGCCAGTGACGGTTTTACGCATAGCCGGGAAGTACCACGCAGTGTAGACTTTCGATTGGTCAGACCGCGCTAGGCATACTAATGTGTAGTCCTTCTGAATATTCGTTGCACTCGGCGCAGGGGCGGCAAGCGAAGCATATGAAAGAATAGGGACACTTGGTTGCCACGCACCATGGACAAAAAATATTTTACCAAGGTCACCCCATACTAACGTTTGGTGAACGCTTTTGCAGAAGGGCTGAGTAGAACACGTAAACGAAACCCCTACGTTGACCTCGCTGACCTCGCACAGTCTAGACACGCAGAAAAGCCAGCACGGGGGGCGGCCAGGCAGTCAACGTGAAAGCGCACACGACGGCAAATTCCTGCGCAAAACGCAGTCACGAAAAATCGACGAAACGGATCGCCGGTCCGTACGGGAAAATTAGGACGACCCGAAGCGTCCGACCCGGCGGAAGACACCCTCCGCATTTTTCCACGGACGTGGGGGGCGAGTAAACTTCTCTCTTATATATATAGATATCACCGTGAGGTCCCAGATGCGCTTTCATGACATCAATACAAATTGAACAGATGTTTTGACATGTTGTGGATGATTTGGAGGATTGAGGCAGTATGCAATTATTACAAAATGGCAGTCATGCCATGGCAGAGGATTTTGCAGGATTGGGGATTGTTCCAAGCCAAAAAAGGCTATTTGCTACAGTCTCTGATTGCAATTTATAAAGAGCAGATAAATGTATACGTGTACAAAAATGTATACTGGTATGTACAGTATGTACATGTACAGTATATCTACATTGTGTTTTTGTACATTTTTGGTAAGATTTCAATGTATGTACTCCTGTGAATGCTATGGCATACCAGTAATCTTGATAATTCTCTGTGAACATTCCTATTTTATATGTGCCAGTGCCACCCAAGACCTCATCCATGTCAATGTATGATTCCAATGGAGCGTTCGCACCAGGAGGTTCAGTCAGCGTAGACCAAGATGCATCACACACCTTCACATGTCAGACTCAGTCTCGACCTGCAGCTACCATCCAGTGGGATGTCGGTTCTCCCAGTTACCAGGAGAGTATCATCGGACCAACCAATCCAGGCCCAGGCAATGGTTTGGTTGATACTACAAGAACCTGGACATTCACTTCAAACAGAACCAATCACAGACAGGATGTGAAGTGCACAGCAAACACGTCCGAGTCGCAGCAACCATACCCAACAGTCATGGTTACATTGAATGTCAATGGTACACATTGGTTTTCTTTTACAATATTACAAGAATTTATGCATTTGAAATTTTAGTCCTTTCCTTATTTGAGAACTGATTGTCTTGCAAAACTATTTCAAGACCAGTCAGTACATTCGTTCATTTATAAATACAAATACGATGAAGCCTTGATTTCAATGGGAAAAAATATGCTACATGTAGTTAATATGCATACGTGTATAGTTCCATGTAAAGTGAATGAAATTGATGATTTATTCCTTGTTAGAATGTAAAAATATTGGATTATCAGTTGTTATATTTTAAAATGTAGCCCGAGGCCTATTCATGAACATGTAATGATGAAAAATTGTTGGTGGTTTTTTTATACAATTTGTTGGGATATTGTTGCCTTAAAAGTTTTCATTTCCAAAATACTGTAACACTCTCACACAGACAATATGACAGAGTACAGCTTTTGCTCTTGAGCTCATGTTGTGAATTTCTTTATAAACAAACAGTGCATTGTGCATAAACAAATAAATGTAAACTAAATCTGTACATCAGTGACTGAAAATGTTGTGACTGTAATGAAATGTACAGAAGACATGGGATATCATGAGCTGTTTAGGACACCAGCAAAGTTGGAAAATACAACAAAGACGATTTCTCCTCATCAACTCTCAACCATTGGATATTGTATTCACTCAGGTCCCCCTGACATGCCTGTGATCTCAGGCAATGCTGGTAGCACATCTATGACGGAGAATGACTCCATCGTGTTAACATGTACAGCAGACATGGGATATCCCGATGACTGGACTCTGGTTTGGTCCAATGGAGGCTCACCAGGTCCAACTACGAGCTCGTCAGCATCAGGTGATCGCTACAGCTTCACCAGCACGCTGGACTACACCCCAAGGAGACAGGATAATGGAAACACCATCACATGCACAGCAAACAGAGCCCCGTGGATCCCCGGACCAGTGGGATCTCTGGGGCCGATTGATGTCAAGTGTAAGTCAACTGAAACTAACATCGATGATGAAATATCTTGAACTTATTGTGAGAGTTTCCTCTGAAATAAAGTGAATCCTTTAAAAATATTACTCTGCAATTAAAAGTGTACAGAAGACAGTTGTTATTCAGTTATTTTGGGAGGTGAACATTTTTCTTTTAAAACTAGTTATGTAATACCGACCCATGTGGCTCAATAGTATTCAATATTCATACAGTTGTAGTTGTATGACATTTTGAAGCAAAATGAATTGCATGCAACTCAGCATGGGTCAGTGCAGTACCACTTTGAAATTATTTATTTGAAAAGGAAAAATGGTTACCGTAAAACATGCATCGATGCGTCATAACATGTACCTTTCATGTATGTCTACTTATTTGTTTTTGAGGTATATACATGTGTAACTTGTCCACCCTCTTTACATGGAGCCAGTCTTTCTCACCTGGTGTAGCTAGGTTTCTTACCATAGAGAGCGAGTAGGTGAGGGGGCTCGATGTTTCATAATTATTTTGACCGTTATAAGATGGAATTCTGGGTGATAAATCAAATTAGGTTTTGCCCTCCACCGGCGTTAAAACACTGTATACTCAGTGTGTTACCTCCTGGGTGAAAGTTGGAAAAAATCACTCGGGTGGAACTCGAACCCACGACCTCCTGCTTACTAGTGCAGATGTCTTACCACTCGACCACCGAGCTAACGGGATCGATTGGCTGGTTCGAATCCGATGTACATAGCAGCGGGTACCGCATAAACTATTATAAGATGGATTTTTTTCCAACTTTCACTCAGGAGGTAACACACTGAGTATACAGTGTTTAAACGTCGGTGCAGGGCAAAACCTAATTTGTATTTTGACCGTGTTCACCAAATTTGTCCCAACAAAACAAATAACTTACTGTGACAAATTTGTACTGTTTATCTTTAAGTTCATAAAGAAATTTGAAGCTGTGCACGGGGCATTTTGATCTTGTTTGTGCTCCTCCATTTTGTGAGATCAGCATTGTATGTCTCATTTTCAGTTTGTGCAAGTTCACTAACTGTGACAGGGTCAGACGCAACAGCAGGCAGTACAGTCACATTAAGATGTGAGACAACAGAGAGCAGCAACCCAGCTACCACTCTGACCTGGTATAAGGGTAGCGTACAGCTAACCACGCCCACTGATCAACCCAACACTCCTGGAGATAATGGTGGCAGAGTGACTACAGTCAACTACACAACTGATGTCCTGGACAGGACTAACAACGGAGACGTGTACAAATGCTGTGCCACGAATCCAACCATCTCATCGTGTGTTACGCTGTTGTGTAACACGCATACTTTGAATGTCGGATGTAAGTTACATTATTTGCTTTAGTGTTTCTTGTGGAAGACATCTTGTTATGTAGGCCAATCAGACTCCAATTTAATCTATCAATGAAATTCATACATGTTAATTTGGCCTTTGTCGCCATCTCATGTCTGCCCTGTACCCTCCCTGCAGTCATGAAGGTAAAAAGCTAGGTTTTCTGCCTCTCTTAAATAAAAGTAAAACAAACAAATCTAGCCCTTGGCCTAGGGTTCAATCAAAAGTCACTTCAGGCTAACCTGAATCAAAATGGTAATTGACATTAATAAAATCTGTCAACTGAAACAACCAACAGGCTAAACAGATGGTCCAGATATTTCAAGCAAATTACCTAAAAAGACAAACGACTTAAAGAACAAGTAAGGAACTCCTTAACAGTAAAGTGTGCTTACAGAAAAATGAAGGAAATTGGAGCAAGCCATTAAACACAATGAATAAGGCTAACGTCAAAGTAATTTCACATCAACCTTGGATTGGTAAACAGTTCACCAAGTGCAGTAGTTAGTTGCCTCTTCTGGGAATTATAAATTTACGACCTTTCTACAGACCAGGCTACCTCTAGTGGCTTTGAGGTCAATCACACTAAGTCCTTTTCTTTGTCTCTACTTATACAGTATATTGCTAAAGAATTGCATGTCCGAACTGCACTGGTCACGTACTGCCTTAATTTGTACTCCCGATGTTTAGAATCCTCTCGGATACAGAATATTATCAATCGAATGAAATAATGGTATTGAAGAAGTTCAATGGAATTATGAGAGATACGAGCGTAATTATTAGTTCTCAATTAATAATACGTCCTTAGATCTTATCGTGTCTTTTCGTACGTAATCAGAGACCGAATAATACCAATGAATTATCAAACTAAGTAAGAAAGAATCCTCTAAGCAATAACACTAAAATATCAACTATAGAAGGAATGGAAAACCCTTGCTTAACAACTAGCAGTACTAAAATGAAATCTTGCTATCAAATACCAATTTACCATGAGGGAAACTTAATAAAGCAACACACTACATTATTATTAAGTGCATCAATAGAAAACAAAACAGAATTCGGGAACTCACCTATTTCGGAAAAAATAGTTGAAACAGGCTCATGTAGGACTAGGAGGTATACGTGAGGTGGCATTGATCCTGACTGTTCGACACCTACACGAGGCCTAGTCCCAAATTCAAAAGGTCAAACAGCTAGGTCAAGTCCAAGACAGGGGCAATAAATAATGGGTCGCCAGCCAACCTTGCCCTCACCAAAATGGGAAATGTTGGGGGTGTGACACTTGTCTTTAAATGTATTCCACATTCTTGAGTCTCACTAGACTAAATGACAAGTCGTTAGACTATAATAGTGGTTTATGTCCGTCATCGATCAGCGCCAGAATCCGCATACCACCGCCGTTCATGCAACGTGAGCGCTACAACCATTCATGCAAAAGTCATGTAGTACCGCGCGAATCCCGGGACATACCGTTATTTCGTTTTACCGTTTTGGATTTCCTCAAAAACAAAAACAGTAAACGAACCGATGACCGTTTTGTCGTTTTACAGTTTTGTAAAACGGCAAACGGTATTAAGATAAATACGGTTATTCCGTTTTATCAGTTTAGTAAATTTCATTACAGCATAACGATCAATGATTTTTGTTTTACAGTTTTACACAAATAAGTTTGATAAACAGCAAAACGGTCAGTATTGAATACAGACTGTTTTTTTTTTTATTTCAGTGTCATAGTTAACAGTCCGTGGTGCATTTTGTGGCAGTGGGCAAGGGGGAGGAGGGTGGAGGGGACCATGCCGTACACGAAGAAGTGTTACCTCGGCATAATTAATGCGTGGTGTGATTCCTCGCGTGACCTTGACCCCCATCTACTGCGATTCAGTTGGTGGGGCTTGAAGAGTTGCAAACAAAAATGGCGCTGGAAAGTTCATGGAGGAAATTTCAGAATAGTTACAGGGTGGTAAGACGTACGAAGAAGTTGCAGATATGTTGAAGGAAATTGGAGTGGCCAGCGCGGCTCTTTAATAGCCAATATTCTCAAATTCTGTCGTGAGAACTAGAACGACATAAATGTAAGGAGGGCAATTTGACAGGCAGTGACTTGATCCCAAGGACACATTAATATTCCAAGGTGCCGCATTGCTATAATTGCCAACTTAAACCTGAATAAAAAAAAACGGTCGACAAGACTATTGACCGTTTTGACATTGTTATGTTTTTGTAAAACAACACTCTAAAAATAAAGCAACTAACCGTTTATTACTTTTTACAATTTACAAAAACAATAAAAAGGTAATTGTTTTTTGTGACTTAATACAGTTTGACCGTTTTACAAAACTGTAAAACGACAAAACAGTCAATGGCTAGTTTACTGTTTTTGCTTTTGAGGAAATCCAAAACGGTAAAACGAAATAACGGTATGTCCCGGGATTCGCGCGGCATGGTCAGTCTGTGTCTAACGACTTGACTAAGACGTTTTCAAGCGAATATTCATATATGCAGCCACTGCATTATGCGTGTGCGCTTTGGCAAGTTATGAATATGCATTATTCAGATCATGACCTCGTGTTTGTATGGCCAGCCGCGCCGCGCTCGACAAACATCATGAAGTGCAATGCATATTCATAATCTTGCCCAAGCGCTCCCGCATAAGTGACGAAGGCACTGTTCGAGAACAACCAAAATGACATCGTCATACATCATGAATATTGGATTTGATCTTGAATATTCATTTATAAGATGGATCCGCCCATACAGTTTCGCCGCGAATTTTAACGACTAGGCTATGTGTTGACATCGTATTGTGTGCGGTACCTGTAATCAGTACGGTATCCTGGGAGTGGTTTTACTAGACTAAGGACGATCTGTTACTGGCTGTGTATCAAGTATTATTTGCTTGCAGTGTATTTTTGTTCACTCATGTTTGCAAATGCAAGACGATCGAAATTTAATTTAATTAAATCGGACCATTTTGTAGGCAGCCATTTTTTAAAATTTAGCACGTTTAATACTAGTAATAGGTTTGCACATGTCATGCATGTAGTCTAGGGCCAAGGAATTTTTCAACCAACGGTTGCTTTTCTGTTTGTAAGGTTAAGTACATGTAAAACGTTTCTCAAGTTTTATAGTATTTATTTAGGCCCTATTATTATTATTAATTTTTTTTTTTTGGGGGGGGGGGTGTTTTTAAAATTAACTTTGGAAAGATTTCCTTAACTTTCAAACAGGAAGAATTATTGTGTTCATGTGAAGATAAAAGTATATGCATAAAATACGAGCCCTTTAGACGTACCAGCCCACTCACTTCAATTCAATTCTGTGACATTTATTTCGTGCATCCGATTAAATGAACAAGCTGCAAAATTGTTTGGAAAAATAAATGCACCAGGGTTAGCTGTAAAAAAAATAAAAATAAACAGGAACAATTTGTGTACCAGGTATTGTAAAAAAAAAAAAATTAAACTTAAAGAATTTCTGTATAAACGACAATGTCACAATGACGATATCTTTAACGTACCAGTTCAACGGTGACGTGACACGTACATGTAGTCCATAATAAGTAGGCCTATACCCCTGTTTTCCCACCGAAAGGCTGCATTTGCAACCAAAATGACTTGTTTTTCCACCGAAATGACATGCCCCACATGTTTTTAGTGTTTTCCCAGAACCAAAATTATGTTTACCTAACCAAAATCACGAATAATCCACCAGAAAAACATGTCTGTCCACCAAAATGACATGTCATCTGCCAACCAAATGATGTGTTGTCAACCAAAATGACGTGTTTTATTCCACCAAAAAAAAATGTGTAGCCCACCAAAACGACGTGTTCCACCAAAATGAAATATGTAGCCGCCACCAAAATGACATGTCGCCCACCCAAATGAAGTGTCGTCAACCAAAATGACGTGTTGTCAACCAAAATGACATGTCTTCCACCAAAATGTGTCGCCCACCAAACTGTTGTCGCCCACCAAAATGAAGTGTTGCCCACCAAAATGAAGTGTCGCCAACCAAAATGACGTGTCTTCCACCAAAATGACATGTAGCCCACCAAAATGACGTGTCGCCCACCAAAATGACGTGTTGCCAACCAAAATGACATGATGTAATTCCACCAAAATGACGTACGTACCTGTCGTCAACCAAGATGACGTGTTCCACAAAATGACATGTAGCCCCTAAATTAAAATGTGGTGTCGCCAACCAAAATGACATTATTGACATATATCACCAACCAAAATGACGTTTCACCAACCAAGACGACGTGTTCCACAAAATTGATGTGTCGCCAACCAAAATGACATTTCGCCAACCAAAATGACGTACGTGTCGTACATCCACCAAAATGACGTGTCGTCCACCAAAATGACGTGTCGCCCACCGACCAAATGACATACAAATGTCATAGACTCATTTCTTTATGCATGGTGTAAATAAATCCACCAACTAAAATAGTCTCGTCTTTATTAGATAATTTTGTAATATTAGGCAATATACAATACAGGCAGACAGGCCAATTCCCTTTTAATATTTAATGGGCCTAAATTCATTACTTCTACTTCATTCGGACTCGTTCAGTCAGAATGAAAAGGTCCGTAGTTCAGTAGGGCTATGTGGAGGATCATCGATCAGGAAGCCAGGCACACCACACCATACTGTACATTGTACATGTCTTGTGCAGCACATTTTACGTTATAAATATTCACACATGACGACATGTAAATTATCATATTTGAATATGCACAAGGTATGACGATGTCATTTTGGTGGTTCTCCATTAGTGCTTACCATAAGTGACATTACAATGCGGCCGCCATTTTGAAATCGCATGGGGGAAATTTTCGGGACGATTTTTGTGGGCGATGATGACTGATTGTCATCTATTTGCCAGATGGATGAAGATTTTGGGATAAAAGAACGTTTTTTCGAAAAGGTATGAGTTCCTCTACGACTAGGAACCATAACTTTGAATATTTCTGTCCTGGATGAAAAGATAATCTCGACCAAAATCGGTAGCAAAATCGCTACATCAGAGTTCAGCATGTAGGGGAGCATTGGCGGTCTTGGCCGTACTACAGAGCTTGCGATAGTACATCTGTACGGCCAGATGCAGTCGGGCTAGGATTTCCCGTACCCCAGAGGGTAGATTCACGAAGGTGACGTTGCTGTCAAGAAAACTTGTGATTGCCACAGTTTGTTGGGGTTTCAGAACACTGGGAATCCCCAGTTTTCGCAACCCATGGTCAATGGAACCTCTATACCTTTCGGTGCTAGCTTCTAACACCTCCAGTTTAACGTTGGGCGACAGGAAATCCGAAGAAATTTGATGTTAGCGATTGAGGATGTTTGGTGGATAACATATATGCCGCGATAATGTGTACGTGTACATGTACATGTATGTAAACTTGTGTGTACGTGTGTCGTCGTGCAAGCCAAAACGCATCGGCTAAGAGATGCCTGTTGAATATTCATATTTTCTTGATTCTTAACCAATCAGACTGCTCCGTCCAATTTTGGTAGCAAGTCTCATTGCCTGTGCACAAACTGACAACGAGTTATTCAAGTCTGTAATGCATACACAGAGCACACGCATGGGACCGCACACGCAAGGGGTCGAAAATGTACGTAGCGTCCCCGCTACTAGGACAGCATGCGGTACGTCGTACCCCTGGTACAGAGCTTGGCAGTCGCGCGCGGCGGACGTGATTAAAACCACTCATTACAGACTTGATTTCAAGTCTAGAGTCTCACCAAAGTTTACATATTGTTACTGAAACTTAATTTGCATCATACGAGCAATAATGTGCATGTCTCAGTTACATGTAATAGGATGTTTTCTTCCCCGTAGATCCTCCCGACTTCACCTCATTGACACAGACTCCGCAAACCCCCGTCACTGAAGGCATTGATGTAACCCTGACATGCACTGTAGATGCCAATCCTTCTACTGTTGATATCACTTGGAAAAGGAACGATCCAGGTGATGCATTTAACCCAACGAATGGCCTCACCAGCACACTGACTCTGAGTAACATCAGGAGGGAGCAGGCTGGCTACTACACATGTACAGCGAATAACGGTGTGCCTACAGATAATCCTGCTGATGTGGTTTCATCTTCAGTAACTGTTATTGTACATTGTAAGTTCACTTTTTGAGAACATTTTCATCTGCATTTATAATCACGTCAATTATGTTTTTAATTACAGTTTGTTTACCGGTCAGCATGGCTTCATTTGTTGAGCTGTTAATGTATTTATTGTTGAAGATTTCTTGCAACCCATTGTCTATACAATTAAATGATTGTAGATGGAAATTTGTTTACAGAAAATAAACAACAGCATCCTAATGATTCACACACGTTCTTGAAATACACGTGCTGAACATTATTACAGTCATTTAGGCGTAGCGGTTCTTCCCTCGCCTTCCACCGCTGGTTGCCCGGGAAAGATTCCTGCCCTGGCCACATGTGGATTGGCTTTTCAGTCCCTACCTGGTTTCGTGTGTTTTCCCCAAATTATTCTTCTTGGGTTTTCCTCCAAACCTCTTAAACTGTAATTTCTTCTCATCACCTTCTTTACAGGTTTCTGCAGGCTTGTACGTGAGCTACAGTGCCTTGGGCACTTTTGAGGAATCCTTGGTTTCATTACCAGAAATAAATCGCAATAACATGTATATGTATGATTTTCTTGTTCTCCCCACAGATGAGGTCAATGTCACCAATAAGGCAATGAATAAAGTAGGAGTAAAAAATGGTGATACTGCCGTCTTAACCTGCATTGTGGTGGGTAATCCTAAGCCAGTCATGGAGTGGTATTGGCCAAACAACACGGAGATATTCAGTGACACGGACGGAGGCAAGTTCCTCATCACCAATGAGACGTCTGGTGGAGATGGAGTCTTTGAACTCGAAGTCACCAGCAAGTTGACCGTCAAGACAGTAGATTCCCAGGTTGACTATGGGATATACATATGCATCAGTTCAAATGGCATCGGGAAAGAGGACTCACTGAACATCACCCTCACTGGAACAAGTAATTAGAAAGTATATGGGTTAAATGTATAATGCTTCGTTAATATTTTTTTCAGTTTGTTTTCTTTGTCATTAAAAATCATGTACCTGTATGTATATGTGGCAGGGCCAAGATTTAGTTGTGAAGTTTTGTCCGATAGCGATGTAGTTAATGTCCAATAAGTTTTTTTTTTTTTTAGGATAAGACAGACGGATAAATTCACTCTGTGTTCAGGAAAATTGAGTCCACAGTTCAGGTCAGGTCAGGACCCACTGAATCTTTAGTTTTTGCGAGTTTCCCCATAGTGTGTCAATTATCCGGGTTACATATAGGCTACCTCTCTTGCATGTGACTCTTATCCATGAGGGCGGGTCTTTCTACTTTCAATGTCACAAAATTTAAATAATAGATACTGTCCTCAGTAAGGGCCTGTTGCTAAGGGAGGATATGTCCCTCCTGCTATGTGTCCAAAGGTGCTTAAAACAGTCACCCGTTACATTTCTATATTTTGTTAAAGTAAGATATTTAGTAGAAATATTCGTGAAGTAGTTTTGATCAGTAAGTGTTTATTTACTAAATTGAAAAAAAAATGGCGAAATTCAATTTAACTTTTCTTCTGTTGGCCCCTCATGGTAGAAACTTGTTAACTTTCCTGCTTTATATTTATGTTGCGTATGTATCTCAGGACGACCAGACAAGCCTACTAGAGTTGAGATAACTGAGCGGACGGCAGAGTCTCTGACTGTGACATGGACACCTGGCTATGATGGTGGTGAGACTCAGTCGTTCCGTGTCAGCTGCATCAAGACATCAGACTCCACAGATGTATTCACTGAGGACACAGATTGGAAGACAACATCCACAGCAACGGGTCTGGATGACTACACAGAGTATGAGATCAGGGTGTATGCCAAGAATTCCATCGGTGAAAGCATTGGTTATGGCAACGCAACGGGATATACACTGCGTGAGTATTTTTTATTTTTTTTTGTTTTGGTGTTTTTTTTCTTGTATTCTGTGTGTGTATTACTTATGAGTTTATCATGTATTGTGTGAGTCGGTTGTGCTTTATTTTTTTTAAAGGACTTGTTGTTTCATTTTGTGGGGGAGGGACATATAATAGTTCAAATAGAAGCAAGACTTTGACCTATTCACGCCGCCATGTTTGTTTTTCCTTATATGCCGCGATTTGATTTTCAAGATGGCGTACCCTGATAATGGTATTTGGAGCCAGTATAATGATAAATGAAAACAGGTGTAACATGACAGTACGTGTACATGTTGTACACAACAAGTCCGACACATGCGTTTTGAACACACTGAAGTCCAATACCAATACCAATATACGTGTACACGCATGGATACATTGTCATTTCAGTTTTTAGTTGTTGAGATTTCTCCGGAAATCCTACCTTATAACTCTTGGTCTCCAGATCAGCATTTTCAAGCAAAAGTGCGGAAATGACTGTGAGTAAACTAAGTGATAAACACCTGTTGTCTTGTACATCTGGATAATGCCTTAGGAATCCCCCTTTATATTTGCCTTGCCATGCACATTGCCTTATAACCGACAATATACTCTCGTTAAAGGGAAAATACAACATTTGCAAACATCAAAAAATAAAACTACAAAATCATTTTGAAATACCTTGCTGGACTGTTAGTGAATGACAATGTAAAGCATCCTGTAAAATCATGGCACCTGGTATACTGTCATTTTCAAGAAAAGTGGTATTTTTGTATCAATTTCCAACGCTGATCGGCCGATCAGCGTTGGAAAAAAACTGGCTTTTTTTCAAATACTGCCCCCAATTGACCATCGCACTTGTTTGCAATCGATTACAAACCTATGAACGGGTACGAGCCAGCTAGACTGGTTCCCTGACCTTACAATTCCCTAATGTATGTAAACTGCTCTGTTTCTTCTTATATGGAGTCAGGGAACCAGACTACAGGAAAATGATTGTTTTTCTTGGTTTTTATAGCATTTTCGAACCCAAAACCTCAAAAAAGTCAGTGTAACTATATTTGCTATATATTTCCAACCCCCCAATTCCATCCATTTCTGAAAATTACAGTAAAAGCAAATGATGTATATTCCCTTTAAGTGTCATGCAGACTATTTTTGGGAAGGATTTTTTTGTGAATCATGACCTCCCATTCCCCCAAATAAATGTTTCTCAAACAAAAATTTGATGTTAGGCCCCCCCCCCCCAAAAAAATAGTCGGTCTCTGGTCAGATCGAAGTTCCGGAATTGATGCGGCGACGCGTTTTTTTTTTTTTTTTTGGGTGGCTTTTTTTTTCAAGCTTGTATTGTACTGTACAATACTGTCTGAGACAAGGTGGGTACTATATATTTTGCTTTTTTGTGTCCTCATTATACATTAGTGTCCTCCATCATTTGCCTTGGTGCCCTTTATCATTTGCCTTGGTGCAATTTCCCCATTCCTTGGTGCTTCTTGGTACAACAATTTGAGGAGGCGCGGCAATAGAGGGCGCTGTTGTAGCTTCCGTGTTAATTTGGAAAAAAAAGAAGGTTGACGCGCATGATTAAAATCGACGCGCGCGCTGACCAGAGACCGAATATTTTTTTTGGGGGGGGGGCCTAAAAGGGCCCAACAATTTCAATTTAAAGGCCCACTATCGTGGGTTCTGTTCCTTGCTCTATGAACTCTTTTTAAATAGCGCCATCCTGCGACCCCAGTGTAATTTAAGTGGTAAACCAGATGTCTTCCAAGTCCCGGGGGGGGGAGCAATTGATAGTGCCAGGGGGAATACACACTGGCCAGCAGTTTACGACCAGTTATATAATATATGGGGCAAAGTAAACAAGAGCAGGAAGGTCCTTGAAATGAGAGTTCATGCATGTACTGAGCGAAAAGTATAGGCCTATTCGAAAACGGGAGCCCTGTAGAAAAAGAAGAAGTTTGGATTACTGAGAGCAGCTAGCTCCATGCTGAGATCGGCATATGCAATTCTCAAAGTGAAAGTACATTTTAGAAGAGAGGCTGATTTTTGTCCCTCCAGTTTGTTTGGCACGTGTGCCGTAAGTGTTGTCATTTGTTTCTACTTTATGTGCAGGCTAGGGACATGTATTTTCTAAATGGAAATCATTGGCCGAACCACAGCCTTGGAATTCGAAGTTAGTCACTTTGTATTTTTTTCAGCTGTAGCCATATGCACTAATGCAGCATATGTTTACAATGCATACACATGATGCACTCGTGATAAAATCCCTCACCCGTTTCATAAAACTAAAATTAATACGCAGCTCAATGAATGTGCCCTTGCAGAATTATCCATAATTTTTTTGGTGGTTATTTTTAAGTGTCCCTTTTTTTTTTTTTTTTTAATTATCATTTTCTACCCCACACCCCGCCTCCGAAAGGAACCAATTGAGTTGCAGTGTTCAAAAAAACATAGTCTTTGAGAAAATTGAGCAGTAATTGTAAAATACTTTATTATGTTAAAACATACATTTGTAACAGAAACTATGTAGAAGCAAGGGCGGATCTCAGTTTTCGGTGGGGGAGAAGTGATGATGATTTTAAATGTTTTCTGCACTTTTGCATAATTATTAAAATGGAACGTCAAAAACTATCCCTTTACAAATAAAATGAAATACAACTGGGAAAGACGATTAGCCAAGTACTCAAGCAAGTTAAAAAAAAAACTGGGCAGCTCGTGTGGGACGACTTCTAATTCCAGAATTAGGGGAGATGTATGTATTTGCATAGTTATCATTGTTATGTTAGTTCCTCTCATTACATCCCATACATGCTCTCAAAAAGTCACAAATCTATCAACTCTCGATCTTCAACATTGTACCAACCCCAGCAAAATATTGACATGTGGGTCATTCCATGAAGTTGAGGAACAGGCCATATTTTCTGAGGTTGGATTATAAAACAGTTTTTTGTTATGGAATGGTTATTTCCAAAACAAATGTCATTTGACAATAAGGCTGTTAGATAAAGCTTTTAAATGATACCACGCTGGATGATATTATAAAAATAATTTTCATACACAAATTCTGTAAACGTTATGGCGTCCGGCAAAAAAAAATGAGGAAAAAGTGTGACGGCAAGAAAACCTACAGTTCAAAAATAACTCATTTTGAAAAGCAAACAAGTGGACTGGAGTTGAGGTTTTACACAAATTATAGCGGGAAGATGTACCCTTTCTATTGAAAAAAAATAATAAAATAAATATCAGATGTTGAAATGTTTTGCCAAAATGGCATGCACAATATAAAATTGGCTTGTGGATGTAACATATGGTGTCCCTTGTTCCATTATGTTACATCCACAACTGGCTTGTGCAAAATTTTCTATTTGCAGCAATTTGGGTCGAATTGACCCCAATATTTCTTGATTGAACTGGTATTTGTAAAATAATGTGATCGTAGTCTATGCAAATAAATGTTTTGGCCAAATATAAAGAAAATCTTATGCCTGTGGGCACATGGTGTCGTTACATCCACAACCGGTTAACATGGTCATGCCTAAAATAAGTATGAAAATCATGACCTGCCATCTGCAATTGCCCTTGAAACAGGGATTTGGGGACATTTCTAAACACAAACAACATTTAGTTCCATTCGTATCTAGGTGAAGAATACCGCATTGTGATGTGTTGTGGTCACGTCCCACGTTACCGTGATCCACAACCATTATTTTTTGTTGTTGTTGGAAATAACAATTTTAGCAGTCTTAAAAAGTAAGTATGGATATTATTAAATGAAGCTATATTATAAACTCAAGTTTGGTGTGAATTTGAACCATTTAAAATGATTAATTATGAACAAAACAAGGTTTGGATGTAACAGGACGTAGCTTCCGGTTACATCCACAACTTCTCTATAGTCATTACATGTAATTTTGTAAATATATATTGTGTACCAGTGATGTAGTGCCTTGATGCTGGGCCTTGGCCTTAAGGCTGCCTTAAGGCTGGATTTTAGGGCCTTTGCCTTGGCCTCGAGGCTTTAGGGCAAAAGCCTTGGCCTTGGCCTTGGCCTTGAGGGTTCAGGGCCTTGCAATTTTGAGTCAAGGCTCGTCAAGGCCCATAGATTTTTGCATTTTCCAGATAAATCCTTTCGAAATTTTGCTGTTACCATTTTAATCGTATTACCATGGAGGAGGGAAGCACCCTATAGATTTGTGTGTTGGGCACACTTCCACTTTTGTAGCATCACGTTTTACCATTGTAGTAGATTTGATGCAACAATATTCCGTACACTTGTGGGGCTAATGAGATGATCACTTTAATTGCATATAACTATGGAATAGATCTGATTGGTTGTATATGTCTCCCTGATAAGTGCTAAAGATTTGCATATACCTGTTTTAGATAATGCTGATATTTCTGACCATGTTGGGCCAGCAAATAAAAATTTCCCAAATCAGTTTCTTGGATCCCCCTTTTGTTACACTTGGGAGAATTGTGTGTCAATATAGAAGTAAATCATTATTTTGTTTAGTTAAACCATATTGAAGACCTGAACTTATACTTTAATATACAGTGCAGTCATAAAACGGTGTAGGCCTATGCGAGCATGTTGATTGCAATTAAAGAAATGTTGTTCTTCGTCACGAGCAATTCGTGATGATAAGGGCGGATGCAGGGGGGCCATAAGGGGCCATGCCCCCCCCCCCCAAAAAAAAAAAAACCGAAAACATTTTTTTATATGTGACGTCGTAATAAAGGCAGGCAATGAGTACACCACCATCTTTTCCTCAAAAAACATCGGTTAAAATGGTCAGAAATTGCCTCAAATCGCACCACAGAGCATCTCGAATCCAACAATTTTTCGGGGCCCTTAAGCAGGCCCCGAAGCCCAAGCCGTAATTTTTTGACCCACTTTTTTTTTTTGGGGGGGGGGGACCAAAATTTCTTTGCCCCCCCCCCAAAAAAAATTGTGTTCTGGATCCACCTTTGCGTGATGATGTGTCACTCATGTGACTATAATTAGTTCTATATCAGTGGTCATTTCATAAAACAGGGCCTTGGCCTTGGCCTTTGCCTTGAGGGTTAAGCCTTGGCCTTGGCCTCGAGGCTTGAGGGTCAAAGCCTTGGCCTTGAGGGTCAAAGCCTTGGCCTTGGCCTTGGCCTTGAGGGTCAAAGCCTTTGCTCCAACACTGTTGTGTACAAATTACCAACTTTCCAAAAATCATGCAACTTACATTTGAATGAATTGTTAATACCCAATGTATGGGCTATCAAAAAATGCATAAACAAAACTTAGTGTAGTACAAGCTCATCCACGTCAGGATTACTCTTGCCAAATTTCAAAAAAATGATGACTAAAACGATCTGACATCAGTTTTCATTCATGAAATTAACATAAACAATTTAAATCTGTATTGTTTATGTCATTCTCCTTTGTGTAGCATTTACTCTTTTTCACCCTTTTACTTTTACCGTTTTTGCTTTCCATTGTTTAAAAAAAATATGTTAGGTTTGGATGACTTTGATTGTATTAATCTAAAAAAGTACATGTACCGTACCCGAAAAAAGCAAATGAAAGATAGGGCCTACCTAATTTATAACGTGGAATTTCTGTCATTAAACAATTGGCCTCGACCATTTGTTTTTTTTTTATCAACTGTATCAGAAGTCGGTCGAAATATTTGGTATCCCAGTTCAATTTTGCATCTTTTTTATCAGAACAAAAAAATGCATCCCACTTTAGTTGGAGAGGTTGCACATATAATGTAGTCGATAGAAATATGGCTTGAATTAATTTCAGTGTGGTCAAATAATACCCATGGACAAAATCACTCATGTGGGTGTAGATTTCGTATTTCAATCTTACCGATAAAATCAATGAAATCATGCAAGTACTAAAATTACATGACAACTTTAACAATTGCATGTTGCTCAATATTAATCGGGACAGTTATAACAAGAAAATAATAGAAATGTACCGAGGCCCTATATACGCTTTTCATTATCTTGTATATGAATAACATTCATCACACCAAATAAACCAGACTCTTTGATTCGCAGATAAAATGTCCCCCCCCCCGTCCGATCAGTCCAAAAAATTTGGTGAATTTGCCCTTGCCTTGTTGAGCATGATTGTTTAAAACATTATCAGGGACAGTTTGTGGATGAGTGTGGTATACCCTAGGAAGGAAAAACTATTTCTCCGTCTTTATAGTGTTCCAAAAAACTTTCCAACTAGTAAATCCACAAAGAAATGGATCACATTTCAGAACGTCCACAAATACCTCTGCTGTGCCAGACTGCGTGTATTGTTTTATGGATAAGCTGTATATAAGAAACCTCAGCTCCCAGCCCATCCATATGGGAACCATTAAGTCTACGACCAGTGGCTGGCAGTAGCCAGGCTGACCACTGGGGACTTTGTGGTCAATTATCTGATCGGACTGTTGATTGATTAAACAGTGGTTTGGGTCTGCATGTGTGTCCTTACTCGAGGCTAAATCCTCCGACTGCTTTTCAGACCAAAAAGCTCCACGAGACACCGTCTTTAAACAGTGTATTCTGCTTTGGGATTTTTTTCCCTTTTTTATGTGAAGACTTTCACGTGCCTTTCTCTTTTTTTTTACCCCGTTTTGATCTTTAAAACAGAAGATGCGAGGCTTCGTCATCAGAATGTGTTTACAAATTACACAATCTTTTTGCATTGATTAAGGTATGGGTATCATGCATGTGCATGTAAATACATACGTGTACATCTACATGCACAATGTGCATACAGTGTACATTTTCTTATTCCATAAAATATTGCCTTCACTTGGTAATATACACATGTAAGGGTATATGCAAAATGTCTCCCTCACAGCCAGTGGTATTCTAGGGATTTCTTTTTATAGACCAGGGTGAAAATGTTTTTCTCTTCCTTGTTCCTCTTTGACGGGTTTTTGTTTCAATAATCAAGGAAGCTTCAGGCAGTAAACATATTAAAGCAGGGTTATTGCACAACACATGTGCATGTACTTTGCAACGTCATTTGGTTCACAATTTGGTCATATCCATTGGCTTAGTACATAGGAAAGTCTTTTGTTGATCACTTTACAACTGTGCAGCTTCACCGTGGGAAATATTTTGTGTTGTT